AGAGGCCCCGCGCGCCGAGAGCGCCCCCTGGCGGCTCGGCGGTGCGCCGCGGTCCCATTACAGAAACCCACAAACCGGGGGATTAAAACAAACAAACAAACAAAAAACCTAACAAAAAGTTAAAACTTCTGCATTTTCATAGTCTAAACAAACCCGTGCAAAGACGTCGGGGTTTAGTGTTTTTGTGATGAGCAGCGGGGACCTGCTGGAGGATGTCCCTGGCCACCGGGATGGTGGTGGCATCACCTGGGGGGTTTTGGCCACCGGGATGGTGGTGGCATCGCCGGGACGTGGCGCCATCCCCACCACGGGTGTGAGGACCTCCCTGTCTTCAGCTACCAGGTCTGGTCCGAGCAGCTCGGCTTCATCTCCTCGGGATGTGGCCGGATCCGGCGGTGGGCAGCACCAAAATGCCGCAGGGACACCTCAGCCTGCTCCCAGTCCTACTCCATCCCGCTCGTGGAACTCCGGCACAGATTCTGAAGGTCTGTGGAGGCAGCAGATGAGCCCCATTAGCAACCAATTCATCTAAAATATCAATCATATTTAAATAAATTCACAGAATCTGGTCCCTTCCCATGGTCTCCACCCCACCAGCATCCCGTGGCATACTCACAGCGCACGACGGTGTCTCTGATCTGCTTGAAACTCTTCTCCTTCAGTGCCATGTAGATGTAGTACAGGTTGCGCAATTCCTTGGGATAATCCTTCCGATCCACGTCCTTTAACACCGGGATGGTGCGCCCGTTGGCCATGGGAGCTTCGGCCAACGCCTGGTGCATCTGGTACTTGCACCAAGGGTCCTGGAGGAAGCCTGGGGTGATGAGCATGACCCAGCAGTGACTGTTTTGCACGGCGTCACACAGCTCCGTCACCACTGCGCTTCCCGGCGTCGCATCCCGCAGCTGGAGGAAGCAACGGAAGCTTTCGGGTTGACCCTCCAGGTAGGACACCAGCTCCTCCACCAGCTCCAGGTCCACCTCGCTGTGGCAGATGCAGACGTCGTAGCTTTTGGCCCACCGGGCGCTGCCCGAGGCACTGATGTCCACCACCGAGACAGGCGACAGACAGACAGATCTGGTCAGGCTCATGCTGGGAGAGGAGTCAGAGCTCTCCGCAGAGGATGAGGAAGGCGAGGATGAAGCAGAGCAGCTGGTGTTGAGGCTGCTCTCCACCGACCTGGGCTTGGGCTTGTGCAGGAGCCGCCTAAACCAGCCTGAGGAGTTGGAGACACCATGGTGAGGTTTAGAGGGGCACTCAGCACCCTCTCTGAGCTTCCCAAGGGGTTTGCACAGCATCACTGGCTCAGCGGGACACCTCCAGATGGAAAGAGCCAGGTGGGATCTCACCCCGGTCCCCCAAAAACCACCCCAGCCCCTAAAACCTCAGCTATCCATGGGCACCCTCATGTTTTGGCTGGGAGGGGATGCCGGTGATGGAGGAGACAGAGCCAGAGGGGTTTATCCGCCCTGCAGACTCACCAGCCATAGCGGGCAGTATGCTGCTCAGCCACCGATCGCCGGCGTGAAACTTCTCCTGCCAGCAGGAAAAAACAAAAAAAAAGGGATAAAAAAAAAGTTAGGAGAGCAGGAACCATCCCATGGTGGATCTCAACCCCAGGAGCTCAGTGGGGTTTATTCCAGGGACACACAGCTCTAGGGTGCCTACCTGCAGCCCCCAAAATGACCCCCGGCAGAGTTTTCTGCATCCACCTCCCCAAAATTTGTCAGGAACGAGCGTTTCAACCTCAAGCAGCCCCCCGCCCGTCTGCCTGCGTTCTTCCTGCTGTTTCCTGCTCATCCCCCCCACCGGAGATACGGACCTGCAGCGAGCGAGGCCGAGAGCCGACGGGCAGGAGAGACCCTCATTCCTGGCAGCGGGGAAAGGATCCTGCAGACGGGAAAAGTGGGAATCACCGGAGATCAACCGGCTGCTGGCATGCTAATGATAGATTTTGGGTGATTCCCACATCCATTCATCCCCGGCATCCCTTGCCAGCCCACACCATGCCCGTGCCTCAGCATCATGCTCCCGGCATGGTTTGGGGTGCCCGGACCCTCCCAGCAGGTACCCAGGAGCGAAAGCGGCTGCTGTTTTCCACTGCTTGCATCACCCCTTCCAAAATAAAACACTCCAAGTCACGCTGAAACCTTTCCCCCACCCCGAAAACGGCGCAGGACTGTGGCAAACGCCGGGAAGACCCCGGCGCACCCACAGAAACCACACTCCCCAAGTGAGCCACTGCTTAGTAATAGCAAAAAAAAACTCGAGCGTGGCTTGAACAACAAGCAGAGACAGCGAACAGCAGGGGGAAAATTTGGGGAATGCCTACCTGGGATGCAGGAGTCAGGCACTGGAGCAGGCAAGGGGGATGCATCAGTCCCTGGGTTCGGCGAGAGGGAAGATCTTTCGGGATCGCCTAGGTGGGAAAGGAGAGGCAGGCTGCAGCACGTTCACTCTGGAGCCTAATGGGATCCGCAGTGAATGGTGAGGCTGGATCCATCCTTACAGCTTCCCCATCTGGGAGTGGTTCCCGATGGAGCGGCCTGGGGATGGAGGGGAGGACGGAGACACCCACCAGCTTCCGCAGGGACAGAGCGGAGGAGCTGCCTCCTCCCTCTGCTGCCTGGCCTCCAGGGGAAGTCGGCCGCGATCCCGCGGGGCCGGGAAGCCAACCCTCCCCAGGGCCTCCCTCCCACATCCGCCACCGGCCTGGCGTCACCGCGCTGCAAGCCCGGACCCGTTTCCCTCCCTGGTTTTATAACCAGACACCGACACGTCCATCTCTGCCGCTCCCACTTATTTTATGAGTTAAATTTACCAAACGAGGCATTTTTCCCCCCCAAAATCCTCCTCCATCTCTCCTTTTCTAGGTCACATCCCACCAGGACCCCCCCACCCCTCCCAGCCATGCAGCACAGCTCCATCCACTGGTTTCGGAAAGGTCTCCGGCTGCATGACAACCCAGCGCTACTGGCAGCGGCCACCGATTGCTGCCGCCTTCATCCCCTCTTCATCCTCGACCCCTCCAGCAACCGGGCGGGCGCCAACGCCCGGCGGTTCCTCCTCGATGCCCTGCTGGACTTGGATGGAAGCCTACGAGAAATGGGCTCCAGGTGAGTCCCGGTGGGGTCTCGAGGGGATTTGGTGGGATCTCAAGGGGCTTCGTGCCCACCCGGCTCCCCGGCAGGCTGTTCGTGGTGCGGGGCTGCCCGCAGGAGGTGTTCCCCTGTCTCTTCCGTGCCTGGGGGACGACACGGTTGACCTTCGAGGTGGACACCGAACCCCCTGCCCGCCAGCGTGACACCGCTGTGGCCGAGCTGGCGGCACAGCACGGCGTAGAGGTGATCCAGAAGGTGTCCCACACCCTCTACGACACCGAGAGGTGGGTGTCTGGCCCCATCCCTTGGGGTCCGGGGAATACAGCACCAGTACGAAGTGTGTCCCTCCATCTCCCACCCCAGAGTCCTCGCCTTGAATGGTGGCAAAGCCCCCCTGACCTACAAGCACTTGCAGAGCCTCCTGACATCACTGGGACCCCCAGAGAAGCCAGCCCCGGCACTCACACAGGAACATCTCCAGGGTGAGCACAGGGTGGACCTGGGGGAGGTAGAGCACAAAGCCGGGTCAGCATCTCCCTCACTGTTCACCCTGGAGCGGAGTGATGGCCATCACACCCCCACCATACACGGCACCCCAGGCTGCCATACCCCGTGCCAGACCAGCCATGACACCGACTACGGGGTCCCCACCTTGGAGGAGCTGGGCCAGAACCCCGCAGAGATGGGTCCTCACCTCTACCCGGGTGGAGAGACAGCAGCACTCGCCCGGCTCGACGCACACATGGAGAGGACGGTCAGTGCTCAGCACCCACCACCCTAATTTCAAGGCTGCTTTGCCTCCCCCCATCCCAAAATACGACCTCGGTGTGTCCCCCCCTCATCCAGGCCTGGGTGCGTGGCTTCAAGAAGCCCGAGACGGAGCCCACCTCGCTGAGCCCCAGCACCACCGTCCTCAGCCCCTACATCAAATTTGGCTGCCTGTCGGTCCGCACCTTCTGGTGGCGGCTGGATGAGGTCTACCAGGGGGTGAGGCAGCATTTTTGGGGTGGGAGGGAAAAGAGTGAGCCACAGGGACCCTGCAGAAGGGGTGGGGGGCTGGAGAAGACAGGGGCCAGCCCAGCAGGAGGGGCTGATCCTGCCTTTGCCGGCAGCGGGAGCACTCCCAGCCCCCAGTCTCCTTGCATGGGCAGCTCCTCTGGAGGGAATTTTTCTACACCGCCGGCGCCAGCATCCCCAATTTCGACCGGATGGTTGGCAACCCCATCTGCCTGCAGGTCGACTGGGACGACAACCCCCAGTATCTCCGTGCCTGGAGGGAGGTATTTCCCTCGGGGATAAGCCCCAAGTCCTCTGACACCCCCCCAAAACGTCCCCCTGTCCCATCTAACCCCCAAACCCCATGCCAGGGCCAGACAGGTTATCCCTTCATCGACGCCATCATGACCCAGCTGCGTTCCGAGGGCTGGATCCACCACCTTGCTCGGCACGCCGTTGCCTGCTTCCTCACCCGCGGGGACCTCTGGGTCTCCTGGGAAGAAGGGCTGAAGGTCAGCAAATCTCCCCCAACACCCACTGGCACCCACCAGGCTCTTGGGGACCTGGTCCCCATGCCACCGTGCCGTCCTGCAGGTCTTTGAGGAGCTCCTCCTAGACGCAGACTGGTCCCTCAATGCTGGCAACTGGCTGTGGCTGGGGAGCAGCGCCTTCTTCCACCGATATTTCCACGTCTACTCGCCCGTCGCCTTCGGCAAGAAGACAGACCGGGATGGAGCATACATTCGGTAGGCGTGAAACCCAAACCCATGTCAAATGGGCGGGGGGGGGACCTCCCTGGTGGCTTTGACCCCTCGCCGTAGGAAATACCTCCCCATCCTCAAGGATTTCCCCGCTGAGTATATCTACGAGCCCTGGAAGGCGCCACGGGCCGTGCAGGAGCGGGCGGGCTGCCTGGTGGGTACCCACTACCCCCGGCCCATCGTGGAGCACAGGGCGGCGAGCGAGAGGAACCTGGGGCGCATGAAGGCAGCCCGTGCCCAGAAAGGTAATAAACCCCCCAAGAAGCATCGAGCTCCCCCCGCTGCCCTGCCATCACGCTGTCTGCCCTCCTCTCCTCCAGGCACCAAGAGGGAACCACCAGCGGGGCCTTCAGTAGCCGAATCACGAAGGAAAAAGTCCAAGGCTGAGCAGCACTGAGCCCCTAGGCAGGTGGCATCCGTGGGTCAGGCACTGCTTGTCCCATTTTGCTCAAATTTAATTAATCCCTTCCCCTCTCCCACCCTGGGCCCGATGACTTTGCCGCTGCCACCACCCCAAAAATCAACTCCCCACCCAAGAACATGCCCCAAAGGCAAACACCATCCCACAAACTTGAGTCCCCAAGGGGCAACACCCCACCGGCTCGACCTCCGCCCCTGCCTTAGCTAGAATATAATCATTATTAAAGACAGCAGAGTAATTAAGAAAGCACAGCTTGATTCACAGCATGCCTCGACCCACCAGGGCACGTTAAAATGCCCTGGCTACGGTATCACAGGGCTGGCCACCACAGAGGAGCCTGTGGCTTGCCCAATTGGCCACAGAGAGTATTAGGAAATAGACTGAGAACAGGGTGAGCACAAGGCAAGGTCTAAGCCAGCCCCTGGAAAGGTGTTGAGGTGAGAAAGTAAGGCTACTTTTGCCTCTTAAGTACACCCACTATCACCACAGTTTATTTATGGCGCCAATACAAAGCGACGCACAGCTACCACGAAAGCCAGAGAACAGCTTTTCTTCCTGAAAAAGCTCTGAATAGACCCAAACTCCTTCGCACCGAATTACAGCAGCTCACCAAGGCCAAACACTGCTTTTACTACCTCACGGGGCTGGAGCCATCGTTGCACGGACACAGACCCAAACACAGAGGCAGCTGGAGGAAGGCAGAGCCCTGAAGGGTAACGGGGCACAATCACGCCTTCAACAGCCCCCACGAAGAGAGGAGGCCGGGCCTCCGGC